CAGACCAAATATAATTCTCTGGTATCCCTAACTTGGAGGCCATTGATCAGAGCCGACTCTTTGCTTCGGATGGGGGGACGCTGTTGAGAAAGAACCTAGCAGTAGGCCCATCTCTGTCTTAAGAGTGAGTCTGCTGACTTTTCTTTCTTTTTTTTCCCCCTCACACCCAATCCACACAACCAGCCAGAAAAAGAGGCCAAAAGCAAAGTTATTCCAAAGTTGTGGCTTCTGTGCTTAGACAGATCAGGTGAATAGATGGCAAAACCAAGGAAGCAGAATCGCAAAAGCTAAGGAACTCCAGGGGGGTAACAGAAAGGTAACTTCTGGAATGTGAGCGCTGGCAGAAGCCCAGTGATAATAGTAATCTTAGAACTGCAGAACTGGAAGGGACACTATGGATCATTGAATCCAGCCCCTGTCAAAGAAGCACAGTGGGTGGTGGTGGTCATTTAGAGTAGCGAAACAGTATTGGAAAAGAGTACATGCGATGTTGCAACAAATATTGCTTTGTAAGGTGCCATTAACCCCAGAACTGTTTTTATTGAGTATGATACCTGATAACATAGATAAGACAAAGGAGTATATAGTTATATATATAGTCACTGCAGCCAGAATTCTTTGTGCCAAAAATTGGAAAAGTCCGACGGTACCGAAACAAGAAGATTTTATAGAGAAGATAAGGGAAACAGCGGAAATGGACATTTTATCAGAAGTGATGAAGGACTGTCCTTTACAAAAGGCAACTGAAAGATGGGACTTATTCTATAAATGGACTGAGTCAACAGACATCGTATGAAGAGCATACATTGAAATGAGAACTTAAATCAGGAAGGCAGAAAATAGTAAAAAGAACAATCTGGAATTTTGATATGGCAATATGTGTAGAATGGATGTTAGTATGTCATTGCTTCTCCTTTTCCCCCTTAACATCATTTCCCTTTTTCCCTTCGGTCACTCTTTGTTAAAAATAATTTTTTTTTTAAAAAGAAGCACAGCGGGGGATTGAACTGCCAATCTCTGACTCCACAGCCGGAAATCTAAAACACGGAATCTTCCAGCAGTTCAACCTTAATGCCAATCCTGCTGTTAATCTCTTCTGCAGAGTGCTCATGGGTTTATCACTATTCCATTCCAAATATCGCTCACATGTACATTTATACACAAGGTAGGAATAGTGAAGACATGGCTTCTGAGTTGGACTCTGAGTTGGACACCAGCAACTTATACGGAGGCAACTAGAATGTTTTCATGGCCCCAATCTCCCTTTTTATAATATTTTCCACTCCTACCTTGGTTGACTTCAGTCTTCCAAGTCTTGGTTTACCTCATTCCTGGCTCTCAGCTGAGAATCTGGACCGAAAAATCTTGGTTTTCTATCCCTACTGATTGGACAGCCAGCCAATGGGGTGAGGGACACTCCTTCTTGACATCCTTGGACATCGTTCTGTTTGCATGTAACTTCGTGAAAGTAAGTGGGGCTCTCTTGCTGATTGGCTACTTAACAGCACAGAAGGCGGGCTTTTTCTTCCACATGGTTACTTTGGGAACCAACACTGGCATCATCTTGGCAAGGCAGCAGGTGCCACAAGAGGGCAATCCTGAGTGCAAGACTTGTAGTCCCCCCCCCCCAACAGATGCAGTAGAGTGGATTCACTTAGAACCTGAAGAACTCTGAATAACTTCACTGTATTAGGAGAGAAGAGGAGAAATGCCCTGACACACGTGTACACAAGACCTTGCAAATTTGAGTGCATGCATTTTGCAAAGCATAAGTGAAAGATTGTGAACAATGATTCCCGTAGAAGCTGGGAAGATGAATAGGCTGCAGGATTTTTCCCCCCCTCCCACTCTTTGTTTTAAACAAAGTTTAGAAATATTGACTGCAAGAGAAACTATCCTTAGGGATACCATTTTCAATATTATTGTTTCAGAAATTCATTTGGAGATAGTGGATAAATGTGGATTTTTGTATTGTTTTAAAACAAGGTGTGTATTAACGCAGCAATGGGATGCAGCAGTCTTTGGAAGGATTGTGCATGAAACTAACATGGATGGGAAACAGACAGATATAATCCACCTCTACTTGTGGGTGTCAATTCATCCTAACAATACTGGCTGCATTAAAAAAAAAAACAGGAGTCCATGGAGACTTTTAATATATGGCACGTGTATATTATGTGCTGACAAGTTGGAACTGACTTACGTCAACCCTAATGGGGCTTTTAAAGCAAGTGAGATATTTACCAAGGGCTTTTATCATTTCAGTCCTCTCCCCAGTGAATTTCTCATGGCCAAGTGGGGATCCAAACTCAGGCCTCCAGAGTGCTAGTCCATCACTCTGTCCACTGCACCACATTGGATAAACCCTTAAAACATGGGCTAGACTTCAAAGTTCACCAGCTACAAAAGACGCAAAGAATCAGTGGGGTGTACTCAAGTGTTAACTTGCCGTTTGACAGTTGACTGAATGAGAGTGCTCTGACTAGGACTAGCCATTGGATCTAGGCCATGCATTTGTCCTCTCCATTTCTTAATTTTGCAAAAAGACATTTTACCTTTCATAAAATAAGACTCACAGAAGAATCACAGTCAAGAGTACTGACGGTTTGGGCCTCATTGTGATCGGTATAGGTTTTAGCAGGTATTGTCCACGTGATGAGCAGCTGACCCAAGAAGCTTTGTTTCCTTGACCTTCTTTATGGGCTTTGTGAGCTGTGTTCTGCTATTATGCTGTGGGTCAACACTAGGATAATGTCATTGTCCAATTATGTCTTTTCTTCCCTTAATTGCTGAGTAAATAAAAAACCAGGATGCAGTCACTATGCAGTTGCTCAGCCAAGATTTATGGATAGGTTGTCTGACTGATCTTGTTCATACCTGGGGAAGCTAAAACGGATCTTTGGTTAGTATTGGATCTGTGTGGTAGATCCTAAGCACCTCTACCGTGTGTAAATGACAAAAAGGAAGGAATGCGCTGTCATAAACTCCATCAGGACTTTGATTTACAAATATCCTTCATGAAAATAGAACGATAACATTTTGGCGCTGAAACTTGGAAATTATTTTGTGAAGCCCTCTGCTCAGGGCAGGAATCGTGTAATTACATTTTTGTTGTCAAGTTGATGTCCAAGCTCTGCTGAAATATTCTCAGTGGAGGACAGTCCACCACCTTCACAGTCTGCTATGTTGAGCTGAGTGTTTGGGAAAGTTACCTTTTGTGTGAAAAATGTCCCAGAAATTTCCAGTTCGCATCTCTACAAACAGCAATTACCACTAGGAACTAGCCATTTCCACTATTTGTTTTAGCTCTGACATCTGGAAGGATAGAAAACAAGTTGCTCTATCTTTGTAAATAACTCCTTACATATATTTGAAGACAGCCACCAAGTCCTCTCTTACTCCTCTTTTCTCCTGGCTAAACTGACCCAACTTTTTTTGACTGTTCTAAACTAGTCTTTCTTTTGACTGTTCAAAAACTAGTCACCATTCTCTGGATATAACTCCCATTTTAAATTGTTTTTAAA